CCTGAGCTGTTGGCTTTTAAGCAACTGAGCAATTTAGTTGGAAACTCAGTAAAACTTTGTTTTACTATTAATAATATTTCTGTATTTATTTCAGATTTAGTCAGTCATACACTTAGTTCTTATCAGTTTTTAAAAGAGGATGCGTTAAAACTCTGTTTAGTCGAAGTTAAACATGAAGCGTCAGTTCATTACAACTGGCCCTTCGAGGGCCACCATAACGCTCATGTGGCCCTCGGTGAAAAGGAGTTTGACTCCCCTGGTTTAGAGTAACTGAATCTTCTGTACTTGTCTTTTGATGCATGTCCTGCTCATAAACAAATCAAAAAGCCCCCTCAGTTTAACCTATTAGTTTTAAGGGTGGAGGCATGAGCCTGCAGATGATATTCTTACATTCAAAGTGAAGCCAAAGGTGGAATAGTCAAATTTACAGCRGGACAATGCACGAACCAACATTAGCTACATGGTTTTTCACTAAGAAAACTTCTCATCATCAAAATGATAGTGGCACAAAACAAACAAAAAAGGATGAACAAAYATTGGACACAAATTCTGTTGGATTTGGGTAATGTGGCTGGTTGACCTTCTGACCTTCAAACTTTTATTAAAGTGTAACTAAAACTCAAATCAACTTTTTTTGCAGATAAACTGTCTAAATTGTGCCTTAATGGTTGACATTTTCATGTATATTTTTTAATTCTGCAATATTCTGTCTATACCCATCGTATCTTATTATCTGCCCTGGGGGTGGGGTTTGCCAATATGTAATACTCTATTAGGTATTCGCTGGTTGATATCTTTAAAGACAGCGGCACAAAGAAAAAATTTTTTTTAACCCAGACGTAGGTGGGGAGGGGTCCCATTTCACTCGGGTCTCCAACCGGACAGAGAGTGTACARTTGGCAAAGATTTGTAAACTTTAACATTTTTTAAGAAAACCRGGAAGGAAAACATCCCGTTTGTGCAGCTCATCTGTAAACACAAGTTAGACATTATCCTGGTTTCTTGAGGGAGAAATATTTATTTGCTGAGGGAGGAAAAAACTAAWATCTCCAACTTTTATGAAAACAAAAAACTTATTCACTTTGCTGGACAATAAAGTTTTGCAAAAGATTTTAAGTCAGACTAACCTGTACATGTATAGCCTCAAGGAAAACACTCATGTCTTAAACTCATACAGAATGAATGAAAACTGGAAATTCAGCCTCTAGAAAACTGTAAGGGCAGAAAAACTGGTTTATACAATGACTCATTTAACCTAAAAAAAAAAAAAAAAAACAACAATTCAGCAGTTAATCATGTGTGAACTGGACTTAAAGCTACACCTGGAAATGTCCAAGTGACTTCAATGAAATCCTTGTGTTGCAGCCAAACGTCTGTTTTTGTGGCGTCACACAAAACTTAGGTCTGTTCTTAGAGCTCAGGTGACAGTTTTGGAGGAAGTTCCTGAGGAATTCACATCTACTCCCTCACAAGAACAGGCCGGATGAAGTGCCAAAACAGAGCTACTCCTCTGCGTGGATGGTGGAAGTACAGAGGAGGACCAAGATAAACCAAAATGTTAAAAAAAAACAGATGAACAAAGTAATCTGACCAACAAGCAGCTCCGACTCCAAAGGCCTAAAAAAACCTAAAAGAGCAGTTAAAGATTATTGTGTATTAAAAGTATAAAATACTCAGATAAAAGGAAATTGGTTTGGATGTTTAAGATCAAGGATGAATCCYTGAGGCTGTACACTGTACAAACTTAAGCATGGTGGTGGTAGTTTCATGCTGAGGGGTGTATGTTTGAGCTCAGGAAATGTGGTTCAAATAGCAAAACTTTACGTGTGTTTGCAACACAAGGTCAGAGGAATAAATGGGGAAATWTTTCAGAAACTGAAAAGCCTGCTCGTTGATGCCCTGGAAGATGTATCATCCGTCCGAGGACCTGGAACATGACGAGTCTCACCTGGTTTGAGTATCCTGCAGAGTCACATCCTCCAAAGATATACAGCCTGTCATCAATRTTAGAGCCGCAGAAACCAGACAAGTCTGTGGGACCGTCTCCAGTAATCTCTTTTTGTTGCCTGTCTCCCATAAAAAAAACAGAGTGAAATATACAAAAGTAATCATTAGTGAAGGCTGGTTACAGCTTGATCTTACTAAACCCTAGATTAGACTTTAACTTATCAAAACTTCACAGAAACAAGCACTTCCTCAAGCTTATCACCCTTTTTTTTTTAAATCAAAAACAACCACAAGGCTGCATCCCTGACTTACAGGTCAAGGTGACACAGCTTTCATCTCGGCCGATAAAACAGCGGATCTTACCACGCCCCGCTGTCCAGATCACACATCCACATCTCCTCGCTGGGTAACACGACATCCTGTCCTGCTACTACCTGCAGGGAGACAACGTCCAGATCAAATCAAGGCAAACAGCAACACTGTGTACTTCTCTGCAAAAAGATTCATTTGGACTTTGAAGAGGCAGGGTTTTAAGTATGTAAAAAGTGCGTTTTTTTCCAATAATAATAACAATAACAATAACAACAATAATAATAGCAACCAAATATCTTCATCTAGATCAGGGGTCTGCAACTTGCGGCTCTGGGCCACATGAGGCCCTTTGGAGATCTGACCAAAAAAACATTTTTTTTACACTAAAAACAGAAAAAGCTACCTTTAGAAGTGTTTCTGTCAATTGGTTTGCAAACATGATGGAAACTAAAACAAGGAGAGTTAATCAGATCATGGTAGTTGGCCACTTCAGTAATCCCAATTTCAAGCTGTACAGTTTGACCTTTTTCTCAAATCCATCGTTTTTCTTCTCTTTTTTATATCTGTCAGAAAAGTTTCTGAGAATAAATATTGTGAGACGATAAGCGAACACAAAAATAGAATAAAACATATGTCTGCATTTCTTGTTTTAGAAGTTTTTTATTAAATTTGGTATGAAATATAATCATTTTTCCTGTTTACATATGAATGTTTTTTTTTCTTTTATCCTAAAGTGTAATAATAACGCTTAAAATAAAAAATATTTTTAGTTTTATTATGTCACCACCACTGGCTGGAAAATCCCCGCTTCAACAAACTCAAAGCGGCCCACAGGCCACCAGTTGCTGCACGTCTTTTGGCTCCTTTCACCTTTTGTGAGCCAAGGAGAGGAGATTACTCTTAACTGTAAAGATTTCAGAACTCTGCACTAAAAGGAGCCTGATTCAAACACAGGTAAGGAGCTCAAAACTTTAAAACGGCAACAAATTGCTGAACTCACATGCACATCACTGCCCCTCCCCTCCCTCCTGAGGGTCATTAAAGGGTCTGCATTATTCTGGTTACCATGAGAATGTTGCTGTTGAACTGATAGGATAATAATCTAAAAACTAAATTAAACTAAACTGCAGTTTAAGTRAGATAATAATGTGGATATAGTTTGAGATAATATCTGGAGACAACAGTAATCCCTGTAAATAAAGACATTCTTAAAAGTTTCTGATCAGAAAATAAAGTTAAATTGTWGCTGTGATTTAAACTACTGCAGTTTTAACTGAGGTTTAGTTGCTCAACCAAGTGTCTCCAAAYGAAAAATCTTAAAAAGTGCAAGTGAATCCACCTGCTCAGGTAACTGCCTCACCTGGTAACCTCCCCACACAAACAGCGTGTTGTTGCGGATGAACGCCGTGTGGCCGCTCCTCTCCAGGGGGCTCACGGGCTCCTCTCTCCGGGCTGCATCCATGTCAGGCTCGAGGCTGTTTTTTTCCGGCTGAATAAAAAACTAAGTTAAAAAAATAAAAAGAAAGCAAGTCGAGCTGGACCAGAAGAGGCAGGAAGAGCTCAGAGAGACGCCGACCTGCTGCTGCTCCGACTGGAAGTTGGAGAATTCAGCAGAACGTGTTTTTCAGGCTCGTTGTCTTGTTTTACTCCTCCCATCAGCTGGAGGCATTAATGCGAAGCCTTACAGGATAATGTCACACATCTGAAGCAAAAAAAAAAAAAACCACTGTGCAACAAATAAAACTGGTTAAAACCTTGTCAGCAAGGAGGAGAATAAGTTTTTTTTAATCTGCAGGTGATACTGGTTGCAGAATAATGAAAACTGATGAGCAGCACCTGCGGCTTTCCTTTTTGACAGAGGCGACACCAAGAGGGGTTCTASAGGGGGCCAAAGCCCTTCTCCCATAGTGACTGAAGGGGGTGAATTTGGTTAATTTTATTGACACGAATTAATCTGAGTCACTCACTAAATTTAACAGGTTTACTTGAGTCACTTGCCATAAAAATAAAGTAAAATAAAATAAAATAAGGCAATATGTATTTATAATCCACCTCTACATCATGTAACAAAAAAGAGAAATTATGCAAATTAATAATCAAAACATTAACTTCTGACAAAATGTATATTATGTGGGTTAAATGATTTTATATRACTCACCTATGTCCCCAGCTTTTCCCGATTCCGCTGTTATTCCAGTTAGTCCGGTTATAGGCAGACTTAGCTGCAGTGGTGGGCAAAGCTAACCAAAAGTTAGCATTATTAACTATTAATTTGCTAACTAAATGCTAAACATAAAAATTGTGGAAGCTAAAACTAAACATTATATATATACACTCACCGGCCACTTTATTAGGTACACAACGCTAGTAACGGGTTGGACCCTCTTTTGCCTTCAGAACTGCCTCAATTCTTCGTGGCATAGATTCAACAAGGTGCTGGAAGCATTCCTCAGAGATTTTGGTCCATATTGACATGATGGCATCACACAGTTGCCGCAGATTTGTCGGCTGCACATCCATGATGYGAATCTCCCGTTCCACCACATCCCAAAGATGCTCTATTGGATTGAGATCTGGTGACTGTGGAGGCCATTTGAGTACAGTGAACTCATTGTCATGTTCAAGAAACCAGTCTGAGATGATTCCAGCTTTATGACATGGCGCATTATCCTGCTGAAAGTAGCCATCAGATGTTGGGTACATTGCGGTCATAAAGGGATGGACATGGTCAGCAACAATACTCAGGTAGGCTGTGGCGTTGCAACGATACTCAATTGGTACCAAGGGGCCCAAAGAGTGCCAAGAAAAGATTCCCCACACCATGACACCACCACCACCAGCCTGAACCGTTGATACAAGGCAGGATGGATCCATGCTTTCATGTTGTTGACGCCAAATTCTGACCCTACCATCCGAATGTCGCAGCAGAAATCGAGACTCATCAGACCGAGCAACATTTTTCCAATCTTCTCTTGTCCAATTTCGATGAGCTTGTGCAAATTGTAGCCTCAGTTTCCTGTTCTTAGCTGAAAGGAGTGGCACCCRGTGTGGTCTTCTGCTGCTGAAGCCCATCTGCCTCAAAGTTCGACATGTTGTGTGTTCAGAGATGCTCTTCTGCCTACCTCGGTTGTAACGGGTGGTTATTTGAGTCACTGTTGCCTTTCTATCAGCTCGAACCAGTCTGCCCATTCTCCTCTGACTTCTGGCATCAACAAGGCATTTCCGCCCACAGGACTGYCGCTCACTGGATGTTTTTTCTTTTTCGGACCATTCTCTGTAAACCCTAGAGATGGTTGTGCGTGAAAATCCCAGTAGATCAGCAGTTTCTGAAATACTCAGACCAGCCCTTCTGGCACCAACAACCATGCCACRTTCAAAGGCACTCAAATCACCTTTCTTCCCCATACTGATGCTCGGTTTGAACTGCAGGAGATTGTCTTGACCATGTCTACATGCCTAAATGCACTGAGTTGCCGCCATGTGATTGGCTGATTAGAAATTAAGTGTTAACGAGCAGTTGGACAGGTGTACCTAATAAAGTGGCCGGTGAGTGTATATACATATATATATATAYACACACACACATGTAAAAATATATAAACATGCAATGTATATATTTTTTATGTATATATATTTGCATAAACAAATGCAAACAAGTAAAAATTAGCAAAGCTAACATTAATCGCTAATAATACTGTCAGTTACGTCTTTGTTTTTTTTTAGACCTTTCTAATTTTGAGTCACTACCAGAGATATCTAACCTAACCTAATAGACCWTTTCATTGTTAAAAATTGTAACAAATATGCATTCGCTAAGCGGGCCAAGCCCACATGATTTTCGAGAAAATGCTGAGATTGCTTCAGAATTGAAATTGAATAAATTCAGCCACTAAATTTGGCCCGATGTATTTTCTCTAAACCGATCTGTGTTCAACTTTCCTTTAGGATCATTGATGAGATTTCTCATTCATGTCTAAGCTATAAACCTGCTTTTTGAGCTTGTTGAATTTGCACAATTCCTATGGCATTTTCATACCTCAGCATTTTACCAGCTGATCCGTGACCCAGAACTATGCTCCACTATACTCCTAACAACAAAATTGTCTRTTTAGGGGAAGCTCATTGGTCTGCTAATGGTTTTCAAAGTTGGTGAAAAAGTTAGKCTGCTAAATGAAAATTTGCTGTTAGCTGTTTAGCATAACCACGACCAACWTTCCCAGAGTCAGTAACAGAACTGCTCTGCTGGTGAGAGCCAAATGAAGCTCCAAAAAGTTTTCAGCTTTTCAACAGYTGTCTTTGGCGCCATCTTGGGGCAAAGATTATCGCAGCTTTAAACAACAACCTGAAATGAACCACTCCTGATCAACACAGGTGAGCATCATCGTTAGCAACGGTGAGCAACAACTCTGCCTGATACCAGGCTGCCATTGTGGTGCTTCCAACATGCATTTTTTTAAGCGTAAGAACTTTACTTTTTTCCCACCATTCCTTTTACAAAATTGAGCCCAACAGCTTTAAAGTCCACACAGTTTAGTGTCCGAGTCCACAAACCGAAAATCATGAGCTTAAWTTAAATCTGAGCTCTCGTAAGTTAGAAAACATCAGCAGCATGAATTACAATCAAAAATATTTCAATAAAAAATGATAATAAAATACAACACAGCAGTATTTATTTCAGTATGGATGTTTATACTTGAGATAAAACGAGTACAAACCAGGAATATCAGTACTGAAGTACAGAGAACGTGATTTTATCGTGCATAGATCAAAATGAACTTATAAATAAACATGTAATGATTTATTTTTGTTCTTGGCCATTTCTAGAAATAATCAACCTAAAAAAGTATTAAACCCTAAAAATAAACAGGTGAAAAAAAAACACATTAAGGTTTGCTACGTGAAGGATCACTTCATATTCCAGCTGTAAAATCTATTTAACCGTGAGTTAAGTGCAAAGTACGCAATCTTTTTTTCTATTTCAGATTTACTGAAACATAATAATTTACCCCCAAATGTGAATTAGAAAACCACACATTGTTTTAATATCAAATGAGTGTGTCCCACCACACAAGCAGCATTACTAATATTTTCTAAATTTACTCTAAATTAGTTGTTAATCTCAACTTTCTTTCTTTTTTTATTTTTATTTTATTGGATACATTCATTTATATTTACACAAAACCAAAAAATTAAACGCATCTGAGCAATTTTAAATTTTGGTTATTTAAAATAAACAGCTATGTGAAGCATTTTGGCAGAAATGAGCTAAAATTTAAGAAGAAGGCACAATCAGAGTCAGCTGAACAGCTTAAGTGAACTTTAACCCTCCTGCTGTCCTTGGGTCAAACACCGACAAAACATGAYCCAAGGGCMGCAGGAGGGTAGTGTTAACATGGAGCGCACATGTGGTAAAAATGACCGTTAAGAATGCACCGACAAAGTAAGAAACAATACGAGCTGTCCTTGTTTTTGTTTTCGTGCCGTGGCTGAATTTGTGGAGATAATAAATTCAGTGTTCAGTAACGTTTGGCTGCATCCTGTCAGCGCAATTTTTAATTAGTGCAAAAGTAGAGCTACTGCAGCACTGAAAAACCCACTTTTCTTATTATGAGTCAGAATAAGCAAAGTGTACATAATTGCACTTTAAGTTCCTTTTATGTAAAAGCTTGACTTTTGTTTTTTTTTTTTTTTTTTTTTTTTTTGCATCGAAGCTCAAACGTTCACCAAAGAGCTGCAGCTCTCAGTCTTGCTGATCTCTCTGCAGGTATTTCTTCATCCTCTGACAGCGGGGACAGGGCTGGTCGGTGGACTTRCAGGACTGGTGGAACACAGCTTTACAGTCTTTACACCTGATTCAGAGACAAGAACAAAAAAATAACTAGAGAATTTGCATTTCCTGTGAACGTGCTTAACCCTGAAAGATGTTTGCTGAAAGTTGCTGAAGTCAATTCCAATAACAGTAGTTAAAATTAGCAAAAAGAAGCTAAAAGTAGCACAAACGAGTCAAAGCACTGATCCTACTGTAAAATMAAGTATACATAGCTGTGTCAAAYWATTACTTAAGTTAAAGTACTAGAGTATGTGCTTAAAATACAACTTGTTGCACCGTATACCTTGATTTTTCTTTTATATTAAAGCAGTAGAAAAGCATTAATCCTTGTAGATGTAAACTTGAACAGTATAGATTAATTGCACCAGGTGCTAAAAATCCTAAGTATGAWTGCACACAGGTAAATTAAATTTCAGCATTACACCTCTGTGATCTAAAACAGCTTCTAAAGATAAATAAGAGTTGACCGAAAAGTTATTTTCTTTTGTTWTTAAATACAAATTTCAAAATAAAACCTCTTRGAGCTGTAATTAATAAATAATACTATGATAACGTGAAACAGTGATATTTTTGACCAAGGTTATCATACCGGCTCATACCTAGCTACAAGTGGCAGGAAATCATAAGATCTTTTATCCTCTACCTGCTCCTTTTCGAACAAATAATGTATAAAATTGCATATCAATGGGCATGATAATTTGTTATAATTTAATTATATTTTTTCCRTTTTTATTTTGTCTGCTTTTGTTTGTTTGAAATAAATAGATAAAATGAAGCTAAATTTAGCTGGAAATAGCAAAAAGTATTGAAAAAGGCAGAAGACAGTTGATATCCAGAAAGCAGTGGAAAGAAGCACAAAAATTTGCCGAAAGAAGCAGAAAAACAAATGTTAAAATTAGCAGGAAAATAGCTGAAATGTAAGATAAGTTAAAAATTATTTATGTAGCACTTTTCAGAAGCAAGGCAATACAAAGGAGCAGAACGAAAGTTGAAACATGCAGGAAAAGAGCTAAAATAAGCCAAAAAGAAGCTAAAGGAAGCTAAAATTAGAATGAAGATGTTAAAAAGGTAGAACCAAAACAAAAGGTAAAAATTACAGTAAAGATTTATGAACATTTTGAAGGGTTTTAAAGATGCTGAAGACAGCTCTATTCATTTTACTGAAAAAAAAAATAATGGCAAAAAAGCTCAAAATAAATTGTATAAATTGATGAAATACCAAAAGTCATGCTGGAACATTTTGATACATAAATTGTTGAAATAGCACAAAAATTGTGGAACGAGTTTGATGCCAAAATCGTGTGAATGCTTTATAAAACCATTCACATAAAAAAATGGAAAACTCAAATTAAAAGGGAATTTTTATACATGAATATTAAAGGCTTTGTATTCCCGTGGTGAGGACAAGAAAGGGACATAAGACGAGGGAATAATGTCTGAAGATAAACACACCTGACGGTGCTTTCGAACTGGAAGGGGAAGAGGATATCTTCAGAGTGGCAGATCTCGCAGATGAAGCCCCTCTGAGTGCACAGGTCACAGTCGAACACGTGATTAGAGGCGTGCTTAATCAGCRTGAGCAGGAAGGATGCAAATTCTCCATCAGCTATCTGTAAAACAGAAAGAAAACATTTCGCTCTTCAATGAATGGAGACGACAGGTGTATCATGAAAGCTACGAGTCAGACAGATACCTGTCGGAGGTCTCTGACGCTGTAAAGGTGGCTCGACTCCAGCATGTACGACCTTTGTCCCATTCTTTAGAGAAACCAGGAAGAACAGCTGCGTTAGCGCTCACAGTGGAAGAACATGAGGTTTGGGAGGTCGGGCTAAAACAGGGGTCTGCAACCTTAATGATCAAAAGAGACATTTCTGCTACTGACGCAGTAATAAAATGTGATCAGAGCCACAAAGTAAGCTACAACTGTGATTATCAAGTGGTGGTCCGTGGGCCTTTTCGGGAAACTTTACGGCCAGTGGAGGTGACATTATAAAACTAAAAAATATATAGTAAATTTTATTATTTATTATTATTTTTACACATCAGGACAAATAAAAAGACTATATTCATGTAAACAAAAAAATACTTTATATATAGTTTATACCTAATTTCATAAAAACTAGTACAACTGAATTATTCAGGCATATTTTTTTCTAATCCTTATTATGTCGTTTTTAATATTCTTTAAAGGTAAATCTGATGGATTTGAGAGAAAGCTCATAAAAGAAGTTGGATTACTTAAGTAAACAACAGGCTAGCATGAGCTTATCAACATGTTTTACTTTTTGTATTAGTAGTATTGATCACGTATTTGCCCACAAATTGATTTCTGTTGTRGGTATAACAAAAACTAAAAAAATGATCATCATGTTTGGTCACATTTTCAAAGAGCCACTGTAGAGGGACCAAAGAGCCACATGTGGCCGCAGAACCGCAGGTTGCAGACCCCTGGGCTAAAAGGAACTTTGTATAAAACCCACCTGGCCTGGAGATTCCTGCAGGCTCCGCTGCGGCAGGTGAGCAGGTAGTCCCCCAGCAGACGCAGCCTCTCTCTCAGGTTGTGGGCTAGAGCTACGGACTCCGAGTGCTTCACCAAGTTGGGGTTCAGCAGCTCCAGGTTCAGCAGAGGCTCCTGCTCCACCTGAGCCAACAGGTGTAGAGCTTTCTTTGACACCTGGACAGAGACATGCGGGACAAAGACGTGGGACAACAGGCCCAGGAAACCACAAGCTGTTGAGTAAAGCACCACTCCTCTGTAGGGGGCACTGTTACCTCTCGTTGTGTCAGATCCCAGTTGTGCACCATGCGGGAGGGGACGATGGTGGTGTCCCCCTTGTGGCAGACGTCRCAGTAGTACTGGCCTGAAAACCCACACAGCCGGGCTCGGCCCAGGGAGGGTCCGATCTGCTTGGGACAGCCTTTAAATGACAATTATTACACATCAATCCAATTAATGTAAACGCCAGTTTGTGACATGATCTTTATTTAAATCTGACTGGAAGGTAAACTTTTTCTTATAGTGACTATTGTAAAAATAATTTAATATATTTCTTCTGCGCAACTTGTCTCAAAGATATTCAAATGTAGTTTTCTGGTAGATTTTATGAATTTAGTATGTATGTAGATTTTTTTATGTTTTGTTATTTGAAGACTATTATTGTTTAAATTTATTTGTTTTAAAAAGGGGCAGATATCAATAAGAATTTTTTTCTTCTTTCTGCTACCTTTCAATTTATTCGTGTTGTATTATTAATTGTTGTATGTATAGCATTTGTTTTGTTTTTAAATTAAATGATAATTTTTTTAATAAATAAATTTTAATGCTCTGTTTGATTTTTTTTATCATTTTTATTGCATGAATTTGTAAGTTGTATTGGTTGATTTTATGAATTTGTTGGCAGACATGCTTATGTATTTTTAGTGTATATTTTTAGAGGATGTATAAACTGTATGTATTTTATTTGATTAGAAATGCCCAACCAGGGACTGGAGTTGCAAATTAGCTGTAGCTAAATACTCTTTGTGCTTTCTTTATACTCTTTCTCATCAGGTACAGACTTGATCTGCTCTATGWTTTTCTATGCATTRTCCCTGTTAAATAAATAAAGATAAAGATTTGAGGAAGATCATCTGATTTATGAATGTCAACAAAACAGGGCTGTGATTTTAACAATTTAGAATCAAAATTTAGGTTATTTTTGACATTTTAAAGCACAGTGAAAACCAAAACTTTGCATCATCTACTGATGCATAAAACTGGAAAGATGAAAGATACTGTGGTTGAAACAGACCTGCACATTTAAAGTTCTGCGTGTCCAACCCCCTCTCTGATGGAACCGTGTACAGGTGGACCAGCAGCACTCCGTCCTCCTTCAGCCTGTGTTGCACCAGTCTGTGCAGATTTCCAGTCACGCCAGCGTTTAAAAYCGGTGCGGGTTCCTCGGAAACTTCGTCCTCCCCGCTCTCCAAGTACGAGTCCAAAGCCCTGCGGATCAGATCCCTCCAGGAGCGAGCCTCCTGCGGGTTCTCCGCCCTGAATCTCAGGGTCTCTTTAATGGTCAGCACTTTGAAAAAGTCCGCTCCTCCCTGGGAAACGTCAGGAACCACGTCCCGGATTTCTTCGATGGGATACGTTAGCAACAATGACTTCTTCTCCTCTTGGACTCGGAAGCCTTTCAGAAACTCCAAGGACAGAGAAAAGACCAGCGGAGTCCACGTTCTGGCCTCAGAATCTGTGGAGAAATATAAAACTGCTTCTTTGACAGCATCCGTTTCAAGGTGTGTAGTCCGAGTCCAGTTGAACTTCTGCAGAGGAGGAGTTGCATCCTGCCCTGCGCTCGTGTCAGAGGATGATAAGCGTCTCTCGGGGCTGGAGGAGGCCGAGGACGGAGGGGAACGCGGGCGCTCKTCCACGCCGTTGCTGCACGGCCGCAGCACCTCCCACCGGTTGTCGGCAGCGCGCGGCGCCGGGCGGCACTTCTTCACGGCCTCATTGATGCGGTCCATCCAGTCCTCCGCCTCGTCGCGATTGGCCGCTCGGAGGTGGAGTCGCTTCCCGGGAAAGGTCAGATCGAAGCGGCCGTCCGGCGAGGTGATCCGAATGTCTTCGCAGCGCAGCAGCGAGCAGTTGTCGCAGCACGTGCGCTCCTCGGCGTTCTGGTACAGGCGGAACTCGAAGGGGGACAGCTCGCAGTAGTAGTCGCGCCACATCCCCACCGGGCCCCGCCGCTCCAGGTGGCCGAGCTTCAGCAGGCCTCTGAAGGGATTGGACAGTCCTGATGGAGACACGACCATCATGAGAAGTCAAATGAATAAAAGCAGCAGGTGACGTGCATTCCTTCGTTCTTTAATAACCTCAAATTGACTTTTAAAGTGCCTAAATATCTGCGTACTGTAATTGACAACAAACTCTTTTGACAAACATGRACACTGTGTGCAATAAAGCCCATCAGTTTTATCAGAATGTTTTATTGCTGTTTTATTGAATCTGTTCTTACTTTTTCTTTTATTTGCTGGTATGGGCTATTGACACAGAAAAACAAAAAACGCATACACCATATTGTCAGTCTTTGCAGTAAAATTGCTAATGTCCCATTAAATAACATCACTACTCTCCATAGAAACAGATTCTTACAGAGTTTTCTCTTTTACCATCAGGAGGCAGGTTTGCTTTAAAAAGATGTAGAACCACCAGATTTAAGAATTCCCTTTTACTTGCTGTTATTGTCATCGTAAATACTTCTTGTTAATTGTTGTGTATTTGTAGTTTTTATGCCTATACATGATGGATTTTATGTCTTTTTTACTGTATTTGTGGTTGATGATTGTTTTTGTTTCCTGCTGGTTGTGACACAAATTGCCCCATGGAGATATTAAAGAAAACGTGAACTTGAGCATACATGTCAACTTGAACAGATTGTCTGTAAGTTATAAGGATTTTACGTCATTTTGCAGGTATACGGACGTATAGAGCAATCTCACAGATTTTTTCAAGTCTTACGGATTTTTTTCAAATTTATCTAACATGTCAGAGCCTGTAGGATGATTTAAAAAAACAATAAATAACATCAAATAGCCATCTTCCAACCTGTTCTGCCGCTAGAAATAAGTTTAGAACTTTTTCCGCTCTCCTCTCCTCCTGCTTCGCAGCGGGCGCTTTCATGTGCGCAGCTTACAGGACCCCCGGGTGCAAGTTGTACGGATTTTTAGCAAAATTTATGGATTTTTGAGGCTTTTTATACAGGTAAACATCCGAAGAGGTTGACATGTATGCTTGAGGCAATGAATGCGTTTTAGGAAAGATAACATTGATAAAATACACCCCCCCCCCCAAAAAAAAAAAAAAAAATCACCGCTGAGATGAACAGTTGTTGAGATATTCACATGTGAAGTAACAGGAAGTGATGTCAAAGGGAAATGTGTGAACGTGAACAGAGCAATGTTACAAMAACACAGACAGGAGAAAATAATCTGATGTTTCTTTAGATTATTTTAAGTCTATCAGAGGGATGAAGAAGAGTTAAGAATTAAAATAATATTGTTTCAATGAACAAAGACCAGAGAGTTCCTTTTCTTAAAGAGTTACCCTTTGATGTCACTTCCTGTTTCACTTCAGCTGAGCCAAAAAAAATAAATACCCACAAAAAAGCTGTTATGTGAGCAAATGGATTAAATCATGTGTTGTATGTCTTTTTTTTTTATACAAATAGGTGTTTTCTTTGACGTTTTGTATTTGAAGCATATCTCGGGCGCTTTTAGGAACCAAGACAACATAAAGAGGATTCAGGAAGTCTATACAGGTCAATTGAGAAGTGAGAATGCACAGCAGTTGTTCCTAAAAGTAAATCTTTTCAACATCATAAAGAAACCACAGTCCAGCATCAATAAAACTTGCTCATAAACTAGTGGGACACTCCCTGTCGGTGAGTTTCTAAAGCCGGCCAAGGTTCTGACTCACTGAGGTGACGTCTCGCAGGATCACATTTTATTGTGACGTGGTCACAACACAACACTGTCTAATAAAAACAGCTTTCTAATTCGAGACGTGATGGAATTCACCTGCTGGAGGAACTCAGGCTTGAGGTGTGGCTCGAGCCTCATTCCACACTTTCTAATCCTAATTTTTTTTAAGCTTGCAGACACTCCAGTTTTATTAAATCATCTGTAAATTCCTTGATGACTACATCTGTGACTTTTCACTCMTCCACCTTTTATTTCCTGTGCTCTTATATGGTTTAGAGCGATTTTTTTCAAATACGTGCAAATGTCTTTAATGTTTTTACATTTTGGTTTTAAAGAGACAGACTTTTTGATGTGAGTGCTTGTTTGTCTATTAGTAAAACACGTCAAAACGCCCACTTTTTAGTATTAACCACGCCCTCTASAAGTTTCTGACCAATCACATAATAGTTGTCAAACACCACACAAGATCATGTGTTGAAAACAAGCTGCAGAACCTCCCAAACCAGGTTATGCAACAATTTTCTCATTCTTGCCTCCTCTGTAGCTGCTTTTATTCTGAAACTCCCACATGACACRTGGCTTTAATAGGTTCAGTTGTTGCGGTTTTGATCACCTGTTCTGCAGCCTTTAGACTTCAGAGGTAAACATTAGATCGTATAAATACCTATTTGTCTGCGATGGACGACACTGGGAGGGGACTGACAAACACTGAGCTCAGCTGCAGGAGTGGGCGGAGTCGTTTCCTCGCTGTCTGGCACCTGCTCCAGATTAGGTTTGTAGATGTCGTCGTCAGAAATCCAAGAAGAATGCTGCAAAAAGACAAAAATAATCCACTCAAATTGAAGTAAACAATGTTTTAAGACAGTGTTTACTTATAAATAGTGCAAGAAGGAAATTAGTTCCTGGTAAATCATGTTTATTACAGATTTCTTTATTTCAAAAAAAGAAAAAAAAGATTGCATAAACTAAACGTTCGTTTATCTTGACCAACAGAACAGCCGAGGTTTGGCAACAAAGTTCTGTATTTGTGCAAAACGTTTCTACACATCCTGCAGCTTTTCCCGTTAGGAAATCACACGTCAGCGCAGATCTTATTGATTTTTCTGAGCACATATTAATTTAAAAGTGCAGCATCGTCACTTTCTGTACTTTATTTTATCAACCAACATCGTGCCGCAGGAGCAGTTTCATTTCTGATCTGCTTGATAGTGACGCTCTGAGCAGGAGGCAGCAGTTTTGTTCTGACAYGCCAAAACTAACACGACTACTCCTGGAGAGTCAGGCAATCATTTTTTTCTTTTTTCCAATAGAAAACTGTGATTGAGTCAGAATTCTTGTTGGACTTATTGAAAAACGTGAGAAGCTGATTTCTTGAATGGGGAACTGTCTTTAAGTTACTTACTGAAAGTGAATCTGTGGATAGTTTCCTGCTGACGACGCTTGCGGAGCGCTGCGATCCTTTAAACTTTTGACGTTCTGCGTTGTTCTCATGGGTTTGCTTGACTTCCTGAACTCGCTTTGAATTATTCGGAATAACCGTCGCAGGTATTTCCTCCTCATCTTTGACATGTTCGATAACTACGGGGACCGTGGTCGTTTCTGAGCGTGGATCAGATGTTTGGCAGCTTTCGCTGGTCGCCTGGATCTCGGGTTGCTCCTCTTGTGATGGCGGCTCGATGGAGGACGGAGGCGGCTCTGAGCCAGAATTTGGGAGTTCTTCCACCGAGTCATGGGATGGTATAGCGCGACTTTGTGTCTCGCTGTCCGAGCCGCTGAAAGTGGCGATCTCTGWGAACTGATCGGCTCCGGTGCTGGAGACAAACGAGTCTTCCCGCATTGAGTCCTGACTGCAATGACCATTCCTCTGGAAATCAGCGTGCACACTGCAGAGAGAATTAACATTTAATAAACACATTTCATGAATCTTTACAACACGATTAATGTATTTGGAAAGACAGGCATAAYGCCCAACATTTAAAGAAGAAAAACAAAAGAATAAATCACACAGATGACAAAGTTTTGTGAATTTCAGTGAATTTGGGGAGAAAAACTGCACTGATCTAATCTTTTGCCTCAGCTTTAAAGGGCCTGTGACATTAAATTTTTGTAATAAACATGAATGCATTTTTGAAAACCTAACATTGATAACATACTGCAAAACAAATTTCACGCCCCTGAGATGAACAGTTGCTGAGATATTTGGACGTGAAGAAACAGAAAGTGATGTCAAAGGGGACTGTCTGCATGTAAACAGAGCTTTGTTACAACAGCTGATAACACAGACTGTAGAGACAAATCTGATGTTTCTTAAGATTATTTTGAGTCTCTATCAAATACAGATAATTAAGAGTTAAAGTTTAAATGATACCGTTTTAATACACAGAGACCAGAGAGTTTATTTTATTAACGAGTTCCCCTTTGATGTCACTTCCTGTTTCACTTTGGCTGAGCCAAATTCAAAAGAAAATAGGCCAGTTATGTGACAAAATGAGTAAAATCATGTTTATCACGCCAGGTTTCTTAAGTAAAAAGATGTTTTCTTYGAGTTTTTGTATTTGTAGGATATGCATGTCACAGGTACTTTAAAACAGAAAAGAGATTCATCTTTTAGCATTTACCCAAGTCCAACACAGACCAGACTTTTAGAAAATAAAAGCCTTTTTTACAACATTTTTTAATTTTTTGGACAAAAATTAGGGAAAAAGATTACCAGCCCCAAAATCTTAGATCATGTGCTTCAAAATAAACAATCAAAAATAGAACCTTACTCTTTATGTGGCCTTTTGGTGCTGATGCTGATGTTAATGGGTGGATCCAGCTCAGTTGGAGACCACAGGTCCCCTGCTGGGCTGCGGGGGTCCTGACCGTGCAGGAGGCTGTCAGAGCTGAAGCTGGAGGAGAGCTGAGAAGACGCTGTGGTGTCCAGACTTAAATTAGAGGAGTGGAGTCCAGGTTCTCTTTGCAAAACAGCCACCTCCTTCAGTACTGGGCAGCATCTCTGCGCATCCAACGCATCGGATGAACCTGACGACTGAGACGCTGTATCCCAGGATTCCTTTCGCTCTGGCTTCAAGGCAGAATGGTCTCCGCCATTGATTGGCAGGTCGAGCGAGCCCAACAGGGCCAGGGGGCACAGTCCGGCTAGAGCCAGAGGTGTGGTGGTCCATTCGTTGAGAACAGCCGACTTGTAGGACAAGTTAAAGGTGAGCGAGGCCAGACCCTGGAGGTAGCTGAGCAGGACTTCCCGCTCCTCCTCGTTCAGGAGCAAGGCACCGGGCTGATAATGGGYCCGCAGCTTGGAGCCCTCGCGAAACAGCGATGCCAGGTAGCACTCCAGAAGGCCGTGGTTGAGGGCCAGGCGCAGCCACGCTCTGCAGCGACCCACGTCCGTGCCGAGGAAGTTGATCTTTTCCAGCTCTGTGATCACATCACTGCAGAAATAAGGTTTCGTGAAACATACAGTATAAAAGGATCAACTGTTTAGTGTTTACAACTGCAAACGTTTTAACCAACCGGTGAGTGACGGCTTTGAGGAGGCTCCAGAAAAACGGCTGAGGGAGGGGCCCGCGGTCCGTCTTCCTACTCCGGCCTCCAGCTTCGGAGCGGATGTACTTGCTCTTGATCCCATGGATGAAGATGGCCTCCAAGGCAGAGCAGAGGATGTTAGCATCTCCGTCCTCACTGGTGACCACGGCGTCTGACGTCACGTATCGCTTCTGCAGAGCCTTCAGGGACTGAGACAACCTCTCTTTGATCTGAAATGAGAGGAAGAGGTTAAACAAATAAATTAATAATTAAAAGCTTAGCACTCCCAGGGTTCATGCAGGTTTCAGTAAGGAAAATTAAGACTTTTTAAGACCATCAGTATGACATTTAAGATKGAATCGCCACATTAGCATAAACATTCAAATTGTCCCAGAAATTTTAACATAGAAACCTTTTATTGCTATCAATTCAGCTATTAAAGAATATTTAATGTTAATACAAGAACACTAAATTATTTTAATCAAACAGTCATATCTGAGACCTGTGGACCGCTTCCAACCGAGTGAAAAAAATCAGATATCAGCCAAGTCTCATTGAAAAGACACTTTCCATGTTTAAACCACAAGCAGTGGACATGACTGAACTTTTGTTTTGTGGGCGGGTGAACAATCCGCCGTATGCAGGGGGTTGTAGCAGCAAAGATGTTGAAAACACTGAAGCAAACTCAGCCTTTTTTTGCCTACAGTTATCACAGGACTTGTGGTTTAACACGTACAAAGAGCGGTAGCCCTTCATGAACACAGATAGCGTGAATCTCTAATTATGGCTCTTTACTCTGTTTATTTATGCAGCCAGTGCTTCCCAGGAATAATCAAAGGTTAAAAAAAAAGATTTCACAAGACCTTGGATGAAAATCTGGGTATTTTAAAGACTTTTTTATGCCTAAATTTTTGATTTTCAAATTTCAGACATTTTAGACCCTGCATGAACCCTGACTTCTTGAAGGGATGCATTTTGTCCACCCCCTTTTATGCCACAGTTCTGAATTTAAAACATTTATTGTTGTAGGCTGTTTTTGGTAAAACCTTGACAAATAACAGCATGCCCAACATCACAGCTCAGAACCTGTAAAACTGACTGTTCTGCAAGTTTCATGAACACTAGTCCTGAGGTTCATGAGATGATATCATTTGCCAGCAGACACACAAACTCAAGCCTTCGCCTTCTGATGCCGTGCAATAAAAAGTGCGGCTGGTTAGAAATCACTTAACATGATGTGCTGGTAAGATTACACGCAGCGTACTTCCTGCTGATGAGAAGTATGTGGGGTTAAGTTATGTTGCTTGATTATGAAAAACAAGCAGCAGATTACCTACTGTCACAAGTCAACCCCCGTCAGCTGAGATAAATGATCATAAACACAAAAAAAACAAAGCAACATTGTGCAACAGCTTGTGGGGGTAAAATATATCATAAGCAAAACTTAAGAGTTTTAGAAATCATGACTCTGAGCTCTGTGTTTTACAAGACAAAATCTTTTACACTAATAAGCATCTCCAGAATRTATGATCTGTGCCTGAGTTAAACTCTTAAACACAAATAAGACATACCGTACAATGAAACAAGTCAGCAGCTTATAAAATATAGATTAGTGCTGATAAAGTTATGAGCATTAGCTGCCGGTGAAAACAGTTAGTCTGCAATTACAAAAATGAGCATTCCTAGAACTACCCATTGACTGATTTTAAAGTGTATTTTTTGTGCTCTGCTTTTGTTCTACAGGCACGTACGCGAGTCAGGAGGAGAGCATCAAAGTTTAACTCTATCACACATAAATCAACAAAATCAACTGTTCTCAGATGTTCACACAAGGCGACTCTGCAAACAGCAAAGCAGGAATCTGTATCTATAAAYCACTCACTGCTTTCAAAGACACAGCAGCTTTTACCTGTTTGACATCTTTAGCCACTTGTGGAGTTTCTGGCAGCTGTGTGGCAAGCATCATGGTAGCTCCGAGGAAGGTCTACTCCCAAATGGCAACCTAAAATATACAATTAGACGAGTTAGTGACTTCTGAAGTGTCATCTGGCATGTGAGCCAAACAGCACAAGCAGTTCAAGACAGTTTTTCTCAGCAGACAGCTTCTTCCTTCTTTACTTCCTGTTCCCAGCAGCACAGAATTACATTTTTTCTTCATCACGAGTTTCTAACACTGTGACATTTTTCTGCCACTTCATGGTTTCTGTGAGTAACCACTCGGAATCATGTGAGACTCACTCTGATTTAGGCTGTCTGCAGGGAAGTAGCCTCAGAACCAAGTTCCTCAGTCAAATAAAGAGTTTTGTGAAATCAAATCAGAAATATAATAACAGGTTCTCTCAAAACCGGAAGTGGGTGTTTAATTACATTTTAAGCTCTATATGGTTTATTTTTATGTAACAGCAGATGTAGCACTAATGTAGCACCATCTTAAGCGTTACAAAACTACTTTATTGATCCAAAGGGTAATTACAGAAACCGCTAAATGTTAGACTTAACTCATTTTTATTCGAAATAAACTAGTTTATATTTGCTAATGCAACTATGTTTTTAAAGCTTCAACAATAAGTCTCGTTATTACACAGACAAAAAAGTAGCCTATTTAAACGACGGCTAACGTAGCAGGAGAGCTAAAATGTTAAAAGGTAAAAGCAACAAAGCAATTTTAGAAATAAAGGGAAAAAAAACAAGATAATCTCAGGATCATAACAATAGCTTCCTTACCGAAACAGGCTGGCTAACCAGGCTGTGACATTTAGCCCCCAAAACCAACCGCGTATTCTCCGTGAATTCTTGTAAACTCAGCGACGACCCATTACAAATATATCAGTCCTTCCAATGGCTCTCTTTGTTTTTTGTTTAGAAGTTAACAATACTCATAAAACCCCACAAAACTTCAGATACAAGCAAGTTGTGCCGCACTTACAGCAGCAGTCAGAGCAGCAGCACAACTGAAGCGCAAAGCCTTATGGGAAGTAACTCCTGATGCCTTCCCTGTCACTACACAAATCGGAACAGAGACTATTCTTAATGTCGACGGATGTGTTATAAATAAATATATCAAAAGTGAGTTGCAAACTTGCACTGATGACTTGCTTACGTGAAAGTTGAAGCGCAAATCCGTTTGTGATTTTTACAACTGACCGCACTTATAGGAAAATATAGGTTATTTTATATTTTTAAGCCAATGTCTGCAACTTGTTTGTAATATTTCTTGAATATAAGGTCACGAAACAACACACTTTCTTGTTATACATACTTCACTCAATGTTTTTTAAGCTGCGTTAAATAACCTCAATTAACTATGCTATGTACRCAAAGTTGAAAGTGATATATGTTGTTTACGAGTTTCACTTGAAGGCATCACTTTATGTTGCTGCTGAGAGAACTTTTTGTTCCCTTTAAAGTTGGCAAAACAGTTTCAGTAAGAGTTTTCTCCTTCGTAATAAATTGTACATTTCATTGTAAAAAAATTTTTTTTAAAAATAAGTAAACAATAAGAAACACAGCTTGTTATCGCCTGCTTACTTTGACTTGATTTTATTTCAATAAAATGTAAAAAAAAAAAAACATATACTTCATTTTATGACAAATATACTTCATGTTCAATACTATAAAAATGTTCTTCAAACAACATTTATATAAAATAATTCTTCAAGCTAATAAATAAATAAACAAATAAATAAATTTAATTTAACACAGAAATGTTGATTTAATCAATTATTATGATGAACAAATATGAATATTTTAAATTAACAAATAATAAATAATCCTTCATGTAACAGATGGATAAAATGTAATTTAATAAATTCAGCTTGTAAAAACAATTAATAAATAGGTAAATCAATAAAAAGATAAACAAGTAAATACATAAACAAAGAGATAAATAAGTAAATAAATAAACAAATAGATAAATAAGTAAATAAATAAACAAACAGAGGTTGATGTGGGTGTTAGTTGTGAGTGAGTAAAGATGAAATCAGGTGGTCAGCTTTCATCAGGTGAGCTCTGAYCTCCTTCCTGATCAGCTCCCAGGCTTCAGYGCTGTGACCCTGCAGACACAACAACAAAGTTCCCATCATGACTCTGACACACGTGTTGAAAACATCACATGTGGGAGAACAGAAGGAGAACTGACCCGTCTCTTCAGAACATGACTGGACAGTCTCTTGAAGTACAGGTGCAGCTTGGTGTTCCTCTTCTTCGTGTGGCTGTGAGCTCTGATCTGAAATCAGCACAAGAAGAAGAGTTCAGAACCTTTTCCAGGAGGTCAAAGGTCAAACAGGACAAGAAGAATGTTCTGTGAGAGCCGAATGACAGCTGAAAGTAGCTAAAAAAGTCTAAAACTAAAAAGACCAGAATGCTAAAATAAAAAAAACACAAACTAAATTAGAAGAACTATTAATAAAACTAAAAATGGCAAAAAGCTAAAAGCAACTAAATGTTAGCTGAAAGCTAAAGAATGCAAAAAGCTACCTAAATTAAAACGAAGTATCTAAAAGCAATAAAAAGCAATTGTTAGCTAAAAGTTAGAAGAGGCAAAATGCTAACAAAATTTGTAAAGCTAAAATAAGAAAAACTAAAAGCAGCTAAATAATAGTTGGCTAGCTGCAATTAGCAGGACAGTAGCTGAAGGCTAAAAAGAGCAAAAGGCTAACTAACCTAAAGTCAAAGGCAGCACAAAACTGGCTGAAAGCTAAAATAAGCAAACTGATAACAAAATTTGCAAAACTTTCAGCAAACGCAAGATGTAGCAGAAAAACAGCTAAAGACTAAGAGAAGCTAAAGTTATTTTAAAAGTCAAAAGAAGCAAAACCTTRCTTAAAGTTAACAGACGTATTAGAACAACTAAAAGCTACAGTAATGTAGCCCAATGATAGCTGTAGCACATTATCTCCTTGTTGACGAAAAGTGCTTTATAAAGAATTTTAACCTCCTTACCTAAATGCTAAAATTAGCAGAGAAGCAGCTAAAATCCCTAAAGTACAAASCTGAAGCAGATTTTTAAAAGGCTCCTGAATGAGCTGAAGRTTTTAATGAGCAAACAGCTAAAACAGAACAAAGTCTGCAGCAGCAGCTSTAAAAACCTCTGTTAGACTRAAAGCAGTGAAGCAACAGAGCCATGCTCAGARCATGAACTGTGACGTCACTCAGAGTGGACCTACACAGGAGAGCAGCTCATCAGCCTGTTTGTTGACGACACTCAGGAAGTTCTCCGCTGTCACCTCCTCCCATGATGAAGAGCCGTCATCTTCCTCCATCAGGGCAGACACCTCCTTCAGGACCTGAGCTGTGAAAGCTACTTTCTCCTCAGCCTGGAACAACAAACAAACAACAACAACAACAACAACATCAGGGTTCTGTCCTGTGGACCCTTCAGACTGAAGACCAGAGGAAGACTCACTGAAGCTTTGGACGCCTGGTTGTACAGGTGATGAGGGAAGGCCACGGTGTTCTCCTCCTCTTCCTCTGTGCTGTTAGTGGAGTTATTGGCCTGCAGAGCACATAAACAACTTCTGTTGGGCTCAATCAAAAATAAATAAATAAATAAATAAATAAATAAATAAATAAATAAATAAATAAATAAACAAGAACATTTTCACTCACCATCTGATCCAGCAGGGTTAAGGAGTTTTCACTGAACTGTCTGAATTTATGATCCATCCACCTGCAGCGCAGCGAGGCGCATGCGCAGTACAGACTGACAAACAGACACGCAAACAAGACCCTGCTCAGCATTTTGACAGATATCTCCTGATGGTTCGGATCTGAAGAGAGCTGTTCAGAAAGGAGCTGCTGTTGTGTTGGAGCAGAGCTGCAGAGGAGCTTTTTTAAAGCAGACACGATTCATTTTTTCGTTTTCTGAACTCACCTGTGGGAAATCCCGTTGGTTTTCACTTCCACAGGTAAACAGGTCGCAATAATGTCACCTTTGAATTATGCCGAGAAAAATCAAAACAAAAGATAAACCAATAAAAACATCAACATCTGRATGAGTTTATAACAATATAATTAAATCATCGGATTTTTGAACCATTAAAGCTCTAAAAATATATATATAACAATAAAATAAATAAGCCCATCGCACTATTATTCTCCTCCGGTCATTTCACATTGATTTTATGTAATTATTATTATTGTGATTTTTAATGCTTAGCAAAAAGATAAAGGACGATCACGTTTTTGCCAGCGACTCTGCGTGGGTCATGCCTGTTAGCAAAATATCTCAGGAACAACTGGACGGATTTAAACAAAACTTTCAGGAAGTAATAACTAGATGTATTTTTACAACTGATTAACTTTGGGAGTCGATCCGGCTCTACATGTCTGCCACAGGCAATCAACTTCCCACTGCACAAAAATGGCTATAATTTTGCGAATTTAATAGGTATTGAGCTGAAATTTATTGTGGTGGTAGCTGAGAGTATTCACAATTATGTTTTCATGGTTTGACTGAACGGCAATAACTTTGAAATTGGTTTACATGAAATAATGCAACTCTCTGCTGAGCGCTTCCTTCAAGGAGCGCTGAGTTTGAGTTGCGTCATCACCWGTGAGAATAAACGTCTTCAGTCATTAATTTTGTTGACGCTCTATAGGTCTTACTTTTTATGGGTGTGTTTTCCATGTTTTTCTTTTATTTTATGTATCATGATGTATTCAATTGTGCTTTGATATAGGCTACATATGTTTTTAAGGATTTGATAAACTGCTGTTATTCTTGACCACGTCTCTGAACAAGAGATTTATGATCTCAATGAGACCTTCTTGTTAACCCTCCTGTTGTCCTCATTTTCTGTATACACCCTTTGTCCTCCGGGTCAAAATGACCCGTCTCCACTAAATTCCCAATATAAGCAGCTTAATTGAATTTTAAACACCAAATTTCATCTTGTATATTGTCATTCACCACAAAATGTGTGAATACTTGAGTTTTCCCTCTCCACTTGAATTTCTAT